CAAACACCTTTGTGATTTTATTCATGCGCAGTATTGATAACTGATGCATATAACGTGGCCTACACATAATATTCTCTTTATACACAGGATGTTGAATGGACCTATTTTTGGCATCGCAGACAAAAGCCACTGGCCACGCGCAACGTCTTACAGACCTAATGGCTGTAACTAAATTCCACTAATAAAGGTCTTCAGATTCAAATCGCTGAGCTAAACTGTGCTAATTGGCACTCAAATTCTGTGCTGTACTTCAGGTATACAAATGTCCATGGTTGTAGGACACTGTTCTGACGCTATGTCCATGTCAGCAAAAACAGTTCAACAGAGTTTGTTGTTATCATCAGGTGATTTCTACTGAAACACTAAACTTTACAATAATTACGTAAGTTAATAACTTTAAAATCATTATTATAATTTATATATAAAGTATCTGATAAGTATTCAAACTTGTCCTAGAGAATTTGTAATCTGGAAGAACGTCCATGCATGTCAGCTTTTTGCTCGTTCTGTGTTTGCTAAGTTCGAGTCCAAATACCACAGGATAAAGCGTGTGGAGATATGAGCGGAACTCAAGTTGAGACTGAACAGTTGTGTACACATGCTGGTGGCTTGACCAGCCCACTTCTGCTCTCATGTTGACTCACTGGGAAAGAGTTACATGAACAGTAGGATTTGGGAACAACCTGTTAGACTTTGTACCATTGAACGATTTTGAGGTCACGAAAAGTTTAATATATAGCAAGTTCAGTTTTCTAATCTTGTACAAGTTTAATTTGAAAATTTCACTTCATATGCATGTTGCACTGAAGGCTTGATTTCAATTAACTTGCTATATACATCAAGAACTAACATAACATTCTAATCAATCTGGATCACATAATCTTCTTTGAAAAGAACTGGAAAGCTTTTAAGAAATAAAGTGACTTTATGTACAGAGTAGACGTGTGAGCTCCTTAAATGGTTTGAGGTCGCATAGTGTGCTATACATCATACAAAACAAACCTTTGGGGTTTTGCTACATCAGAAAAAGTTGACTAAACATTGAATAAACAAAGTCATCTATACCGGGGGGTACTTTGGATTTTCTGTAGTCAATGTCATTGTTGTTACGCTTCAGTATGGACCTTACCTATATCTCGGTTGGAGACGAAATTATGTGAATTTAGTTGTTTCTTTGTTTTGAAATGTTTGCACGGAGGAAAGCCCATATTGTATAGAAACTGGGTGACGACAACACTGAAAACACTGTGACATGCGTGCAGGATGTTTGGAGTTATCTCGGTCGGTAAAATTCTGGGCCATAGCAACAACCAGAACTCCCAGGTGCTACACCATTATACTCATTACATACTAACCCTATAGTCTCATACATGTACCTGTTTCTAAAGGCCTGGTGGCCAGTTGGCCCATAGTTTCATGAAAATGTTAAATACACTAATATTCTTCATGCACTTACAAATGTAACGTTACATAGTAGTCCTCTGAATATTTTGTTGTAATATATATAACACTTTTACAGTAGAGCAAGCAACGAGCTTAGACTCCATAATGTCAGGAGTGTTAATCAATAATGTGGCTCAGGTTGCAGCATGCTGACTAATGACAACACAGCATTGTTGAATGTGAGTAACCACACACAGTTGGTTTCCCATGGCAGTGTCTTACTTAGTGGCAAACCCTGAGTAAGGCCACCTGTTCTGTGGTTTGTGGGGTTGGCATATTGCGGCTGAACATAGCACTTGTCTATACTCTGTGTGTCTGTGAGTGACTGACATTGGTTTTGAGGCTTTATGATGTTTGCCACAGCCTATGTACCATCCTGGTTACTAGTACTAGTTTATGCCCGCACCGATATAGTTTCTGCCCACCATAGCAACTATCTGAGTGAACATAAACTTAAACCAGGATGGTACCCTGGCTAGGTTTGCTAACTCCTAGATGATAATGTAATGCATGGCACACTGAGTGCACACTGGAACAACATGACAAACATTAACTCCCACTGAGTGCTCACATTATTCTGTGACTTACAACATTAAAGAGTAAGATAATCCTTATACCATTGAGTAATACTTACAAACACATCAGGTAACTAGGGTTTTAATCCATGCACTTTTGAAGATGAATCAGAGAAATTACAAAGGATTTGTGATTTGAGAATGTTGTTTGCATCTAAATCTTTATCAAGTACTTTTGAAACAGCAATTTTTGGAGTCAGAAAAGAATGTTATGATAATTTTAGCTAAAGCAAAAAATTCTAAATGTGCAAAACGACTGTCTTTAGTTTCAAGTAGACTTCTGTATATTTGAAACATACAGGTTATAACATTGCAGCTTCAGAGCTATCGACTTGTTATTACCTCTTGTCATTCTGTGTCAGAGGATAATTTCACAGGTAACCCACTTTGCACAGAAGGCCACTAAATTACATTTTGTCCTTCTACAATTAGGACCACAACATGGTTTGTACTCATTATTGTGTAATTGCCTGAAAGGGAAAGATGGTGCAGCTTGTGATATGCTGTTTCGTTATATATCGTTTGATTCCTCAGTGAACAGCAGATCACAAATGACTGAAACTGACATATAAATGGCAGTGATTAATGGCCAGGATGTCCACCTCAGGGCCATCCATACTCTGGGCTAAACTGACCCATGTCTGCACGTGTCACACTGCATGACTCCACTAGTGAAGGACAATTCCAAGCCTTGTCACCCATGCATGTAGAGTCCTCCATACGAACCACATCATTTGTTGGGCCATGTTTAAGCACCCTTCAATTTCTGCCTGCCCATAGTAACTGTTTCTAAGGGTATCAAATATTACCTGTGTGCAACTGTACACAAGCCACTTATTTCTGTTCAACACTGAGAAAATAAAAGACATCATGACTTTTACATAATCAACATGGCAACGGCCACTTGAGGAATTACCATAGTGTTTCCTTATGATGTGTAAAAATGTCTAGTACATGTTTTTACTCTACTTGTAGTACTCTGTGAACACTGTTTCAAAAGATATTCTCCAAGACTAACAGCAACATTCAACAGATGAAAATATTTAGTACCTGTACAATAGTTAGGCTTTCCTTGGTTTCATGTCAATGGCATGCACAATTTTGTACATTAGTCACACTGTATTATTCCCTATCAGACATGTGCAGACAATGTACAGCCACACCTGGATAACTGTTCTCATCTTCAGGTATTTCTATTGTCACCATCTATTGTTGGACTACACTACAGATACGTGTCCACCCTTATATAATAGGACTATAGGAGATGCGCTGCGGCACTTCTGCACACCGCAAGTGAAGAGACAATGTCAAATGGCCTGGCTGTGTTTTGTCAACTCTACCCTGGCATTGACCACAAAGGGATCGGTGCATGGTAGTTCAGGCATAAGTGACAAAAGAAAGGAAGGGGCACTTTAGAAGATACGATCAGGAACTGCTACTTCACATGCAAACCCTTCATCTCTCTTAAACCTGTCTGCCACAGTCAGCAACTTCTTTTCACCTGAAAAATGTTTGCAAACAATAGGAACTGTTGAAAGGATTCCGATTGCCAGACATTCAAGTCTTCCCGTGTGTTTTTTTATTCAATGTTGATTCAGGTTCTTACAATAAGTTACATTCTTTTTGCTGGAGGTTGTAACAATTGCTGAGCTAAGCGACGCTCAAGGGTACGCTTTATACAGGTGTGCAGTCACTATCAGTTCCCTAGACGAAGCATCCTGCGGCAACTAAAACAAACATCCCCTTCCCTTCCCCTTCCCACATGACCATCACCTGTTGATTCGACTTCTATTTTAAAACCCACGCTTCTTGTATGTTATTAATCATTAGTTACTAAGTGCTCATATCAGATCTACACAAAGGTAAAATATCAAGAAAACTGAATAAAATGTCAATTCTCAAAGTTACAACATTTTGTTTGTGTCCTTGTAACTAAACTCTTGTTGCCACCACTAGTAAAATGGATCAACCTCGACCACTGATGTTGACTGAGGCAAAAACAAGTAGAGTCGGCTGAAGTGCCCAGAGAAAAGCTTTGTTGCCCATGTTTGACTCTGCAACCTGATCTAACAATCAAATGTTTCACAGCCCCATTAACTCAAGTATCGTCTTAAGAGAGCTCAAGTCTTGAAGGCGAATGACCGTGAATCTAACACCTCAAGCATAATCCCCGCTGTAGAATTAAGTATCACATGATACAGTGGTACGAGTGGGGGAAGCTTATCACCCCCGCTACTTTGGCGTACAGCAGGATCGTACTGAAGTGGAGATCCAATACTCGTGGAAACAGCAAGATCCTGTTTCAGTGCGGACTGCGGTTTTGACGTAGCTTCCGTGCAATAACAAACACTGTCCATTTGGCCCAACACTTGATCCGAACCTAAATATAACTCTCTGTTATTACATTGAAGTAAATGCAGTATGGACTTGTCTTCAGATACATTTGGACTGTCACTTTGAAGCCAATAGCTATCAATTCTCATCTCACCAGTCAAGCCACCCCATTCTGTGGAATATTTTACCGTATTTGTAGCACTAGGGATTATGTTAACATCGTTTTAAGCCAGGTGTGCTGCTTTGCTGTTTACTTGTGTGTTTGTGTCCTAGTTGTAGATGACACATGTAAACTTATACAGCGGCCCGGTGCTTGTCATTCCAACTAACTGGATTAAATGGTAACATTTGCACTGCAGGAGGGCAAACATTTTTCCCTTGCTGCAAAGCTGGTAAGCAAACTCTCTCTCTTTTCAGGGAGGATATTTTAGTTTGAACTCCTTGATGGAGGACAACCAGTAATGTTTGTCACGAAAACCTGTATTCTCGTTTCTGTCCATGATTCATAAACGAATATCACTACCATGGTACCAATCAGATATACATGTATGGACATTGATACCCTTGTACAACATAGCTAATAAATGCAAATGAAATGTCAACATGATATATAGCACAAACAAACAAGAAGACTGCAGGGATACTTACGTTGTTGTCGACGCGGTGGGCAATCAACGTCGCTCCCTGTTCCAGCTCGGCATCGCTGACGGGCCGAACACGGAGGGCCACCTGGACAGTGAACACAGCGAATCAGACAACACTCACACAATATATATATATATATAATATAGCCAGTATAACCACCCTTTGGCATAACACACCAGCTTGGCAGGCACACATTGTGGCAGCAGCTGGCTACATGTATATTACACCAACTACACACTACTGTACTACATGAGTACATCATACTATATACTACACGTACACATCTACACATACATCATAGGCTACTTCAGAAGGAGGATGCTCATACTTACTTAGTAAAGTAATTAGATCTGTTGCTAAAATTACTTTAGAATACAGAGTGGCTTCCCTTCTTTTTGGTTGTACCAGCACGCTAATAAGATTACATGTACTGTTAGGTTTTGAACCAATTGGCATAATTGGTAAAACCCTTTTGCCAACAGTACAAAGGCTTGACTCCCCATTTTCTCAAAACAGAGCTTGTATTCTGCATATAGTGGCTTACAAAATATTCTCTTCAATGTAGGGTTTGACTTTTTCCAAAGAACATGCCGCCAGGCAGAGTTATATGAGGTTATCTGCTGCCCTGTGTAATATGTAGTCTGTAATTTTGAGTGGACACCTTTTTTATTTCATCATTCATATTACTCAAATAGTATACACGACATAAGGGTTTTAAAAAATCTTCCCTGTGAAATGTCATGTCAATAATGCTACAATTTCCATCATGCTTTCACTTGATTAATGTTATGTTTGCATGGTATCTAACAATACATACATTAATGATGAATTGTACTGGTCAGCAGTGTCCAGAATATCAATACTAGTAATTAAGGGGGCAGTTTTCCACAGGTCAGTGTGACCTGGACACTTTCATTACAACTTTTTATCACACCTGTCTGCACGACAGACCCACTCATCTTTTATCCTGATGCTTACACCTGAGTGATGATGAAAAATGGACACACCTATGAGGTATCATAATATATGTTCTTTTCTTAATTACACACAATGATGTATTATGACTACACCTAATACCACATGTTTACCGACACTTTTACTGGCTAGGTCATATATTTCTTGTGCAATGAAAACCTGAATTTGCTACAGATGGAAAATTATGACCATAACACCTGAGTTGATACCTACACTACACCTGCAGATTGGACCAAATGGGTATACTAAACATTGTAAACAACACCTATTTGGCCCGATATGCCCTAGAAAGTGTTGTTTGCTATGGTTGATGGTAATAGTACTACGTAGATCACTGATGAAGACATGACCGTAGAAAGTTTACCGTGAGTTGGTGGTCCTGTCCTCCCCCCTCTGTCTTCATCGCACCGTCGTGCTTCATCCTAGCATTCTGCGGTTCCCCCATGGCGTCTGGCGGGTCGACTCATCCTCGCAAGAAGCCTCCCCGGACCGGGGGAAGACTGTTCCATGTTGAGGGAGGATAGGTTGCACAAAATAGGGAGAAATGTCGGCACTAACACGGGTAAAACGTTGTCACGGACCGGTAGTTCACATCCTGAAACTGGACAGTAAAAATGTAGGACACTGGTTAGAACTACGGCCCAGGGACGGACGGTGTACCGTGCGTGCTCGCTTGTCTCCTGAGGAGGCAAACACCGTTTTATACTTGTCTTGTAGCCAATCAATCTCTTTTAGCGATTAAAATCAGACAGTAGAAAATCCCATGTTCGTAAGTTGTCCCCAGATTTAACCTGTCGATAAGATCATTACAGCTGTAGGGCTAAAACCTTGGCTGTGGGCTTTACCTGCACGAAAGCGGCCCGGGACTTTACATAAGGTGACGAGATACGATCAACTCACGCAAGGGAACGTATCTAAACGGATGATCTCGTCAAGGTTATACTTCGGACTTCTAGCAGTAACAAACACAACAGTTGTAAAGAGGAAGACAGTGTGTAAGAGTACGTACATTAGGTGGTAATGTCAGCAACCCCAGGGTATCCTACCGCTTCCCCCACCGCCATAATGACTTTTGAGTGTTGCTACTACGTCACAAACCTTTTGTTTTGTATCACTCCGCGGAAGACATACTTGTACCTGGATCATGAAGAAAGGTATCTTCGATCCATCTATACCAATCACCTACTTATATAATGGTCCAAATACAGTCCAATCATCTTTTTACGTGTAGAATTAATGGTGAAAATACTATCATGGGCACACAATACAAATTTCTGAACAAGTGCAACCGGCACTATTTTGCGGGGCTCCACATACATGTTTGTACTGCGGCCCAGGTAACCAAAGTAATGGGCCAGTCCAAATTTGCAACATGGGGTTCATATTGTGTTTCAGCTGTGAATACAGCAACACTCTTTCAGCCATTGTTTCTGCTCAAGGCGGGAAGTGCTTGGTTTCACGGTCAATGACATCTGAAGGTTTTCACATTATAAAACAATTTTAATTTGTTGAAACAACAAGGATACATACAGAAGTCCATTTGTCTGTCTAATGACATTGTTTATGACACCCCGAGGGCCATTACGGATCACACCTAACTAAGAAGAGGTGGAGGGTTATGAAAATTTAATCGCCACCATAACAATGCTGTTGGTGGTCATGAATAATTTACGTAGCAACGCCTACAACTTCGGAGCTTTTGGGCCTTTTGTGACGTTAGTGTAGACCCACTTCCCTCTTCTCTGTGTTTTTTTGTGGTGTGTGCTTGGCAACAAGGGCTTTAAGTGCTCTGTGTACAAACAGCCGTTGATAACTTACGTGTTGAAAACTGATTCAAGCTCTTTGCAACAACTCTGTTTAACGTACTAACTGGACGGATGCTCTGGAGCGGCCAAAGGATAGATGAGATGGAACGCACTGACTTTCTTTTAACATATTCTGGGGGTTTGGAGATATATGTTTGCGTAAAAAGCGGAGTGTGTTTATTACAATTAAGCAATTAGTCTCGCTGTGCAATCGCAATAACGTCATATTCAGAATTCAGGCATCCTTCATATGTGCATATGTGAGGGTGCAGTGGGAGAAACAGTATGTGTAATATATATATATATTACTTGTTATATGGCGTTATATGTATATCTCATTCTCACTTCTCATTACAAACATAGGACAGTGTGGATGGAATACCTTTCTCACGATGTTAGTGGTATTTTCAATTCAGGCCATGCCGAGAAACACAAGGCAGGTTTTAAATGGAAACAAGAGTTCCGAGATCTCATACCTCCATGAAATATGGGCTTGATATGTAAATGTAAATTTCTTCTTTAATTACGCAAATGACCTCTGCATTAACATAATATATATGCATCTTGATGTTAACTTTTGATTAACTTAAAGATGTCCCAAGTATGACATTCCCATCATTCACCATTGAGAAATCATAGATTTTTTGCATTAATTATGCAAATTAGTTCATCATTTGCATCTGTTGATGTTCCATCTGCCATAGGTTACATACATTACATACATACATTACATGCATGAATGTTCTACAATGTAAAACACTGTAATTATAGAATTTCCTCCTTAATTATGCCAATTAAGTCCTCATTTGCATAATTTGCATTTAATCATGTACAACTCTCTGTCAGATACCTACACACCAAAAATGATGAAAATGCGTTGTTCCAATCTGGAGTTATTGGCTTTTAAAGTTTTTACCAGAAACTAACCTGCAGTTCCAGAACAAGCTGCTAGGGGGACCAAACTCACGCCACTTATTCCTGACAGGATAAGCTATCTGTCACCAAAAATTCAAGACCATAGCTTGTTCAGGACAAAAGATACCAAAACCGGAAGTTCTGCTGCAGTACCAAGGTCAGCCACCAGGAGGCCCATACTTGACCTTGACCTTTGTCTTTCCAAGACTTACCATCATACCAAATATCATGGTAATCCATAAAGGCGTTCTGAAGTTATGCTGACTACAAAGTTGCGGAAACACAGACAGACACACACACAGACAGACAGACACACACACAGACACACATACAGACAGACGCCGCCAAAAACAATACCTCCATTTTTCATGGAGGTAATTATCCCTCCCAGATAGGATAGAGCAAACACTCTCAGTGGGTGCATTGACCGCATGAAAAAAAGAAACGAGCTCGACTTGAGAAAAGTACACAGGCGGTAGCAGTACTGGTTTATACCGGTAGATGACTCTGCTTACCAGTCAATGAAGAGATCGCGTCACCAATGTAGGCTTTTTCGGCCCTTTCATGCAGAGCTTGCAATCGGGAAATGCGGGATAACTTACACCAATGTTCTGTATTTGTAAAGAATAGTTTTTTTTTTTAGTTTCACAAGTCATGTCTGTCAACCTCTAGCAGATGTGAACCAAGTCAAGTGCAATTTCGGAGCTTCTGCTCAGCAGATGTCCCGGATCAATACAGCTCTTTTGTGAGATGTGGGTGGCCCTGAAAAGGGCCGGTGGTTTTATAGATTCCCGTCGCTTACTTGGAGCTGGTGTACTTGGTGACGGCCTTGGTGCCCTCGCTGACGGCGTGCTTGGCCAACTCGCCAGGCAGCAGCAGACGGACGGCGGTCTGGATCTCCCGGCTGCTGATGGTGGAGCGCTTGTTGTAGTGAGCGAGGCGGGAAGCTTCAGCAGCGACACGCTCGAAGATGTCGTTGACGAAGGAGTTCATGATGTTCATAGCCTTGCTGGAGACACCGGTGTCGGGGTGCACCTGCTTGAGCACCTTGTAGATGTAGATGCCAAAGGTCTCCCTCCTCCTCCTTCTCTTGTTCTTACCACCCTTGCCCATTGGGCGGCCCTTGCCAGCCTTCTTAGTTCCTTTCCCTGTCTTCGGTGCCATACTTCAGATACGATGAGTGCCAAGTGATGGTTGTCTAACGAGCTTGTGATTTTTATTGCCTCTCGACGGTGAATATGCAAATATAGGGATTTCAGGTTATCCTTTATTCAGACGTGATCGAAAGCGAATGCTGTTTAGAATTTTGATTGGCCAAATTACATTAGAAGTAATACATGATTGGGTATATTTTTCATTTTACACTGCCATTGGTCAATGACCTTGAAATTGATACATTTGAACACGGTTCGTCACTGTCCTTCGGCTGCGTCCCCCATTGGTTGATCAGCTGGTCTGTGATTGGTGGATATTGACAAGGAATGACGCCATTGGTTAAAAGTTCTCATATGGGTAATAAAATCGTTATGATTTATTCGGACTTCGGCGAAGTACAATCTTTGGCCACAACTGGGGATTCATGATTGGCTAACTTTTCGCGGGTTTCGCTATCATTGGTCAGCTCTGTCTGTGCACAGGATCCTTCCTGTGGCTATAAAAACCAAATTCATTGACGAGTTTTCATTGCTACTTGGAGGATTTGCTTGAACGCTTATATCTGAAAAGTCATCTGAAAATGTCTGGTCGCGGAAAAGGCAAGGGCAAGAAGGGCAAGGGGAAGTCACGATCTTCCCGTGCAGGGCTCCAGTTCCCCGTCGGCCGTGTGCATCGTTTCATGAGGAAGGGCAACTATTCCGAGCGTATTGGCGCCGGCGCCCCAGTCTACATGGCCGCCGTGCTGGAGTACCTGACCGCCGAAGTCCTTGAGTTGGCCGGTAACGCTGCCCGTGACAACAAGAAGACCAGGATCATCCCCCGTCACCTTCAGCTGGCCGTCCGTAACGACGAGGAGCTGAACAGGCTGATGGGTGGTGTGACCATCGCCCAGGGAGGTGTGCTGCCCAACATCCACGCCGTGCTCCTGCCCAAGAAGAAGTAAACTTGAAGGACAAGTAAAACCACCGGCCCTTTTCAGGGCCACCCACATCTAACATAAGGATCGTGTCGTAACACAGGCGGATGAAACTTTTAATTACATACGGTACTTTTCTGGTGACTGAAAGAAAATCTACATGTAACTGCCATTAGCATGATGACATTGTAATCCAAGCCGCAACTACATATAAGTTTGCGGAATCCTGCAGATTTGCTTACACTCGCTAGAGGCCGAAGCTGTGCGTGCGTAAATACGATTTGTTTCCGGGTCACGGTTTCGCATGGCGGTTATCTGCTAGAATACGTCAAACCCGATTCTCTCAAAGCGTTGTAACTGCCAGTTGAAGTGTAGCTATAGGAGCACCGAATGGCCACAGATGTGCAGGACCGTGGGTGTGAAGGAGAACCACCGCCCCTGCCTCCGAGGAAGGCCAGAGAAACTGCTGGTTCACAGTCTTCAAGTCAACTTCCTCATGTAAATTATGTCATTCCTTCTCACTGTGCTGGGCCTATGATGGAGTTGGAGGATTATTAAGTGTGATCATCATATGCCATAGTACAAATGTATGTCGCATTGCTTTGTCGTATAACTGCTATAAAGGCATCAGAGCGATATTGATAACGATGTCAATGCTAGTGACGCTTACTCGGGGAGGGATGCTTCGAATTCCTGATTCCACTGAACACTGCCAGTAAGGCTTATTTTGATGCACGTGTACTAGTGTAGTTTTATATGGCTCGATATCGGATAGTGAACAGCGCTGTCCAATCTTTGAAGTCACTTTCATAGTATATTTCAGGTAGCTCCTTCCACGTCAGACGATGCGTTGACCAGCCCTGACCGGGTGCCGCCCACATCTTGTCGTGTGGAGGAACTGCGTCGCATCATTACCGGACCTTTCGGTCTCGTCCTCATGCCCTCTCGGTCGCACGACGAAGTGTTTCCGCGATTATACGTCGGCGAAGGGTGCGTTTTTTCTTCTTACCGAATTTTCTGGAAAGGCCAAGGTAGAGTAATTCCAAATTCACGCTTTAATCAGGGCATAAAATACAGTAATATGAACTACTATTATGTTGCTTCTTTGCAGTGTATAAACATGTAACTTCCTCATGTATTTCCATGCTGTAACTGTATATGTTGCATACTTGTGTTTGACAGTGACATTGCTAAGAAGCTGCCCCGCCTACAGGAGTTGGGCATCACTCATGTTGTAAACGCTGCACACAATATCGGAGTTTTCACCGGCCCCCACTTCTACCGAGACACGAACATTCAGTATTTAGGTAGGGACACGATAGATACACTGTACTACGTACTACTAGAGCAGTGCATGTACAGCTATCAATGGGCTCTGTCCTTGGTGCCTCCCCGCTATCGCCTGAAAGAACTTGCTGTAGTGTCCTGAAATGCATTAACGCAAGGCTCTCTTCTATAGCGATATATTTCATCGAAAGTATGCACATGATAACTCTGTCAAATCATGTAGTACTATACAATTTATACAACAGTTGAATAATACATAATACTTTTTACCAATGCATGGTCTCTAGTATGTCTTTTTTATACAGAATGTCTAATTGACGTTTGTGAAACGATTACTGACAAATCTCTACTTGTAATGTTAATTTCCCATGAACGATGCTTTTTTCAGGAGTGGAGGCAGTGGACCATGATGGTTTTGACATGATGCCGTACTTCATACAGACAGCCGACTTCATAGAAGATGCTCTTAGAGATGACACGGGTACAATAATCCTTAAATTCTACCTTCAATTGTCGTTGTTTGCTTGGAATCAGAAACTGCCATTGCCCTTTTCCTTATTATTTCTCCTACTTATAAAATTTCTATTGTTTTCTCCTAGCAAAAGTCTTGGTACACTGTTTGGAGGGTTTCAGTCGGTCGGCTACCTTGGTTATAGCCTACCTGATGCTGAAGCAAGGCATGATGGTACAGGAGGCCGTAAGGACAGTCAGGGATCGGCGCGAAGTTTGCCCGAATGATGGATTTCTCAAGCAACTCTGTATTCTGAACGACAAACTGCTGTCGTCAAGGAGTAAACAAACAGAAACTTAGTCTGGGGTCGCTGGCTAGCAACCTCACTTTTAAGAATTTATAGTAAGAATTTGTAGAATCTTTTGTACAAAATATACGTTTTCTTACAAATGTTGCATGTTGTATCTGCCAAGTAGTAAAATCAAGAACCTTAGACCGTGATGATATGTGTATGTGACAGTAAGACACATAACTGCTTTTAAAAACCTTCATTTTCTGTTGTACTAAATGGATATTATATAAATTTATATATAGCTTCCCTTGCTGCGCTTTGGAATAAATACTCTTGTACAGAAAATACATAAATGCAGGGTCCCTTGTATCTATACATAAGTTCCAGAGAAAGTTCAGGGAAGTAATGCGAACATTTTTTGAAAATAACAAATTATCCGCTAGGAGACCTAGTTCAATGACCTCGGTCACACGCAGGCGCACTCCAGACCAGCGTTCGCTCGGACACCTGAGATCTGAACTTTGACCTCTTTAAGGTTGCAAAACACAGTGTCATACATACACTATCTCTGATGCAGTAAAACATCCAACTGTGTAGATGAAGTGACGGTTGACTCAAACCACCGGTACCCGTGCAACAATGTCGGTTGTCTACCCTGTCCCGATTGGTGGCGTCTTTTGGGCCAGAACGCGAAAGAGACCAAGGGTATTGTGGGTAAACGCTGCACGTCACTTAACAAAGTGGGCGTGATTGTTTTTGGATTGGTTTCCTCTTCTTGGTTTGGTCGACTACTTCCTCTTGTATTCACACATCGAGCAGGTTTCCACGGCTTTCAGAGAACGCCCCGCGTTTCTGTTCAGTATACATCGGTGTCGACCAGTGTCGGCCGTAGGTACCCCTGCTCCAAAGGACTTCCTTGCTCAGTGTTCTGGCGTTTGGTCACGACTCGATGATGGCGTCCTCAGGCCTGTCTTTTGAGAACCCCGTGTTCGCGGCTTACGCTTCCTACGCCAGCCTCGTGGTGCTCAAGATGTTTTTCGTGGCGTTGTACACCACACACACACGTTTCCGCGTCGGGGTAAGGGACCTTATTTGCCTTCAATCTTAGCTTTCCTTCTAAATGTTTAGAGTTTGTGTGGAGACCTCTGGTTTATAGGTCGGCTGAATTTGCATGGGGTGTGTCACCGTGTGTATGTGTGTGTTTGTTCGGCCTGTGACTGTGTTGGTCCACTGATCAAGCTCGTGTTATGCTCATGTTAATCTTTGTCAGATATGTGCTAGGAGCAAATTTATTTGACTGTTAAGCTTTTCTTTACTACCATTGTAAAGTCGGGCACTGTTAACAAAGTAAACACTACTTAACTTAATTAGCACTTGCAGAGTACATTCCGGAGTCGGTCACGAAGCATAGCCGCGGGCAGTTGAGCTATGACTCGGCACTACACCTATCGGCATTCGATCAATGGCCGTGCACGACAATTTTTTGGGGGGTTAAGGGCTTAGGTGGGTTATAATTTGTAGCGTAAGGATTTTAATGTGGTAAAATTGTAATCAGGACTGCTCAAAATTATAGAGATACTGTCATATGAAATGTCACCTGGACGCATGAAACTTACTTCCGGGTTACCGTAAAATACTGTTGTTAAACCATTGTTAGTCTATTCGCGTCTGACTCTCAGTCTCACAATAACCGACCACATACGCAGGTTTTCGCAAACTCTGAAGACGTCAAGGGCAACAAGGGGGCTGTGGCTCGACTGGACAACCCTGACGTGGAGCGCGTGCGCAGGCTGCACCGTAACGACCTGGAGAACATCCCTGCCTTCCTGGTCGTAAGTATGATGGCGCGAAAAAGGAATTTCGGGATTTGGGAAATGAGGGATTGTCCGTGAGCAGGGGTTGGAGGGTTTGGGCGACGTTTGCTGTTTTCTGTCTATTTGACCAATTTTCTACTCTTTCCAGGTGCCTCCGAAGCCTGGTAGAGGCTAGTTGTAATTTCTCTGTTGTCTCCTCCCACAGGTGGGCCTGCTGTACGTGCTGACCGGACCGTCCCCCGGCGTGGCCGTGTGGCACTTCCGTGTCTTCGCGGCGAGCAGGTGTCTCCACACCGTGTCGTACCTGGCGTCCAGGCAGCCCCATCGCGTTCTGTGCTTCTCCGCGGGTCTGCTCACTACCATCAGTATGGCTGTACATGTTCTGATGGTGGGAACTCTGTAAACAATAGAACACATCTCCCAGATTTGTCTCGTATATGGTGGCCTGGCTATGGTACCTTTTCTGTGTCCTTTGTGAAGTGAATCTTGGTGAGCGATTGAATCAAGACATGTACATGTACAAGTAAATCATCCTCCTGAGATAGGTACTTACGGTGGTTTTGTCCTAATAGACTAGTTTAGGCAGATACATCAAAGTTAATTGCGCCAGGAAACAATCATACATTTAGCTACCTAGTATTGTTCAGATCATACAATTGGTTCACAATGTGTATGAGGCAAGAAATGCAGTCCTGATAGAAAATGATACACTTCGAAGTTTAAAATTTTCATTAGTGCCATAAATAGATACGACATTTTGATGTATTAAATGTCGATACAGTTTCGCTGGCTAATGGCCAATTCTGTGTGTAAACCATGCGAGTGATTTAAAGAGTGTCACTTCAATCGCTTTGTGAATGGTGACGTACTGTTGTATTAGAAGGGTCATAAGGAAATACATTTTAATCAGTTGCCATTTTTCACACACTTTTTGTTTTTCTTTCTGCGTCCCATCATATCGGAAGTGCAGACGCACAGCGCAGTCACAGTCCGCAAGAGCGGGGAACCTGCTGAGTGCACCTGTACACCGTCACAAATACACGTAGTTGGTTCGTTTTAGGTCAAATAATCAAACTGATAAGTCTCACTCACTCTGCCGCAATTGTAGCGCTGCTAAAATGCTCAAATGATGGCTCACCCCTACCATAGAACCAGTGTGGGGAGGGACGACTACTGGCACAGTTCCAGAAGGGGCATCGACCTTTAGTTGCAAGCCTCTTGAGGTTCTGTAGTTTCAAACAAACAAAACGCAATAGAAAGATTTGGCTTTGGATGTTAATGGGTATTTTACTAAATTTTTAGAAGCGCTATTTCCACAACACTGCCATTAAAGTAAATGAAAGAGTAATTTCGAAGAAAATGACGTCGAAAAGTGATGGCGATTAATTTACGTTGCTCGGTGGTTGTGGTGCGATTTGAAGTGTATGCATGCGGTGTGTATCTTTGAATGCGACAAATTCCCTGATATATCGTCAGCCTTTGGCTTTTAACCAAGGGGCAAAGTCCACCAAATGTATGATCTAGCACGCGGTACGGAATCAGTGGGCTTTGTATCATATTGTTGCAGAGTAAACCTCTGCAAATTTTAATTTTAGACAGTTTTAACATTGCAGCTTGCACTTGATTGTCAACAATTTCATCATCCTGGGAACTTCTATGTTTATTAAACACAGAATTCACAATGTTGCAAAACAAAGGCTACACCAAATCAGGTCATTATTAAAATGATTGCGGACATGTGACGTCATCCCTATTGCAGAGACCCGCCTTCTTGTCACAGTGGAATTTGGTTACACATTGTTTGCGAGCCAGCGTCTGATCCAAGATGGCGGACAGAGTTGTGTCGTTCGATAACCCCGTGTTTGCGTCCTACGCTGCCTACGCGGGGCTGGCCTCCATGAAGATGATGGGCATGACGCTCGTCACCGTTTACCACCGCATTACCAAGAACGTAAGTCCATGTAGTTCTTGTGTTATCTATGTAATGGCTGGTTGTGTACATATGTAGTCAGCTTGGTTCACAGGCGTGTGCATGCATGGCAAGCCCTTAAATAAATAAATGCGTGTCGAGCAAAACTCTGGCTGGCTAAGTTTGGGTATCTGGTGCCCCACACTCGTTCCAAGTTGGACAGTTTTATGTCGGACAGTGTAATGATGATAATAGCAAACTTCAACTCAGGCGACACTCTACTGCATGTGCAGTACCCATCATGGTCGCACTGACAGACAGGTCACGAAGTGATCGATGGCAGCAATGACAGGCTCCGTTGTTTCATTCGGATTTCTGTCACGTCGACCACGTAGGTTTTCTCGAATCCGGAGGACACCTGCTTTGGGGCTAAGGAAAAGTCCGTGGTTCGGCTCGACCATCCTGACGTTGAGAGAGTCCGGCGTCTACATCTGAACGACCTCGAGAACATCCCACCATTCCTAGTGGTGAGTTGTCAAGAACACTGTACATACGCTAGCAGCCTCTGCACCATTCATTTTCACCTATGTCGTTCCCTAATGTGAGTTTTACAGCTGTTGAAAAGTTGTTTTTATTCAGACCAAGAGTAATTTCCATACTGTAGTGTATTCTTCCCTTGCTCACAGATCGGGTTCCTGTACGTCCTGACCAAGCCGTCGTCTGACGTAGCGCTGTGGCACTACCGCGCCTTCCTGGCCTGCCGCCTGCTCCACACGGCCTGCTACCTGGCAGGACTGCAGCCCTGGCGGGGCATCTTCTTCTTCAGCGGCCTGGCCACCACTCTCAGCATGGCCGTGCAGGTGGTGGCCAAGGGGTCTTTGTAAAGCCCAAGAGAATCAACTGATCGACTGTGTGCCCCGACCCCATTCAGAAATTGCACAACAGATTATGTTCATTACTGAGATTTGAATAACCTACACACATGTTAAAACCATGGTGTGCATTTTCTTTCTATCTTTTTAACGATAAAAAAACCTATGATGAGTGCTTTATTTTGTCAACATGAGTATAGATAGTATATCTTTTTGCTTTGGCTGACCAACTCTGATTAATAAAAGGTACCTGTGTGTTCATCTTCGAAGATGCCATATCATCAGAATAAAGTATCCTTTCTTGTATCTGATCATTTGTATGTGTTTTGTCAGATTTCCAGTTATCTAACCACAGACAACAGAGAAGTATTAATCAGGTTGTTTTTTCTGTTGGCATAGCTCCAATCTCAGTTCAAATTTGACGTGCTGCTGTCTGGGTGTCAGCAAAGGCTAATCTGTTGTGAATTCTAACAACCTTATCACGACTGACAACAAGTAGAACCGTATCTGTGGAAAAAAACTCCATGCAAATCGGCTATTTTGTTTCTTGATTTGCAACTATCAACAATACTGAGGCGCATGTACGCCCCGTATTGCATATTTGGCTACCATCATGCCCACGGAGTATGCTGCACCGAAGATCATTGATCCATATCGAGTCAGTGTAAACATAGCAGCAGTAGCTGTTAACAAAAGGCGTTTTTGGCGCGAACTTATGAATAGGGCTCGATTACACTTGAAACCGGGTAAGGTCTGTACCGACTTCCAAGCGAGACCAAATACATGAAAGACTCAGACTTATCTCCCCAAATGACTGCAAAGATACGAAAATACCGCTGTGCTGATTATAATTCTTTTGTAAGATCGATCCTACAGTCGTAGTCTCTCATGGTACACTGGCAGATTAACCGTAAGCTAAAGTGATCCATACATTTCTTTTTGAATATTTGGTGGCCCTGAAAAGGGCCGGGGGTTTTGCCGTTCGAAGTTGTTTACTTGGAGCTGGTGTACTTGGTGACGGCCTTGGTGCCCTCGCTGACGGCGTGCTTGGCCAGCTCGCCAGGCAGCAGCAGACGCACAGCGGTCTGGATCTCCCGGCTGCTGATGGTGGAGCGCTTGTTGTAGTGAGCCAGGCGGGAAGCCTCGCCAGCGATACGCTCGAAGATGTCGTTGACGAAGGAGTTCATGATGCCCATGGCCTTGCTGGAGACACCGGTGTCGGGGTGCACCTGCTTGAGCACCTTGTAGATTTCCCTTGAGCACCTTGTAGGACTCCCTCCTTCTCCTCCTCCTCTTGGCTCCACCTGCACGGCGGGCCTTGCCTGCCTTCTTGGCGGCCTTTCCTGTGGTCTTTGGCGGCATGTTGTACACGTACAGTTTTCGACGATGAAGACGAAAGTGATCCGCACTCCGAGAACCACCTGCTTTTATCTCATTAGATATGCAAATAGCCGGATTGCTCTAGTGCGGACCTAAGTGAACACAAACAAACAAACGGAATTACAAAGGCATAGTGCCCCTATTGGGCAGTACTTGAAAAGACTTCTTCTTATTGGTTATCCAGTTGAAAGACCGTATTGGTCTAACGTTGGTCAGTCTGAATCCCCCCAAAGGGTATAAATAGTCTGAAAAACGTTGGGCAACTATTGTTTTGCTACCAAGAACAGGTGTCAAAGCTTCTATCATTCATCATGTCTGGACGTGGTAAGGGAGGAAAGGCCCGTTCCAAGGGCAAGAGCCGATCATCCCGTGCAGGGCTTCAGTTCCCTGTCGGCCGTGTGCACCGTTTCCTGCGCAAGGGCAACTATGCCAACCGCGTCGGTGCTGGCGCCCCAGTCTACCTGGCCGCCGTGCTGGAGTACCTGACCGCTGAGATCCTCGAGTTGGCCGGCAACGCTGCCCGTGACAACAAGAAGACCAGGATCATCCCCCGTCACCTTCAGCTGGCCGTCCGTAACGACGAGGAGCTGAACAGGCTGCTGGGTGGTGTGACCATTGCCCAGGGAGGTGTGCTGCCCAACATCCACGCCGTGCTCCTGCCCAAGAAGACCGCCGCCAAGAAGTAAAGAGGCAATCCTAACCAAAGAACCCCGGCCCTTTTAAGGGCCAACAAATCTTCCAAAAAGAACTGTTATTTTCATCACCTTCCAAGCTCAGGAAAGTGGCTTATATATAATGTTGTTTTCTTTTGCACCTGTCATTACTATGCAAAGCTATGCTGTTGACACGATAGACCAAGGAGTAGTAGATATCCTAAAGTGTATATTAAGTATAAAACAAGTATAGCTCTACCAACACAAGTATTGTCAGGTGTAGCTTTACGAGCAAGACAAAAAAGGGTGGTATTTTCTGTACCCCCTGTGTTCACTTATTGAATTTGGCGCCCGTTTTCCGCCGTTAGGAAGCAAACAATCGACACAATGAGTTGTTGACCTGAAAGACGATTGGTTTTCAGACAGATTCCTTAGGCTGTTTGCGGTGCTGCAACATGGATAGTAGTGTTGGTTTAAGGACTATGTAGAAGCCGCGTCGGTTGTGGCTAATAGAAACCTGTAACCGTTTTTGTCGGGATTTAGGACATGTTCATGACTTACTGTCTGAACTAGTTTCCATCTTAGAATAGAGTGGTAAGCTCGGTAGAATAAGTAGATATCAGATGTTTGGGACAACCGCCACAAAATGCGTGAGTCAACAAAGGCTTCCGGAGCAAATACAGGTGGTAAGTGAAGTGGTATACAGCTCTTTTAAGAGGATTTGTTGGCCCTGAAAAGGGCCGGGTTTTGTAAGGTCGAGCCTGATGTTTAAGCACGCTCGCCACGGATACGGCGGGCCAGCTGGATGTCCTTGGGCATGATGGTGACACGCTTGGCATGGATGGCGCACAGGTTGGTGTCCTCGAAGAGACCGACCAGGTAGGCCTCGCTAGCCTCCTGCAGAGCCATGACGGCAGAGCTCTGGAAGCGCAGGTCGGTCTTGAAGTCCTGGGCGATTTCCCTGACCAGGCGCTGGAAGGGCAGCTTGCGGATGAGCAGCTCGGTGGACTTCTGGTAACGACGGATCTCACGGAGAGCCACGGTGCCGGGCCTGTAACGGTGAGGCTTCTTGACACCTCCGGTGGCCGGGGCGCTCTTGCGAGCGGCCTTGGTGGCCAGCTGCTTCCTGGGGGCCTTGCCTCCAGTGGACTTACGGGCGGTCTGCTTGGTACGAGCCATGTCGATAGTTCAGTTCTCGGGTTAGTGAGACGAATAAAACTTAACCGTTCGCGGTTCTCCTTTATTGTGACACGATTGCTTTCCCATTGGTCACCTTGTGAAACTGTACGAGCCTTGATTGGTCTATCTTTCCAACCCGCAATTGGCTGCGAGAGTATCCTCTGCAGTGATTGGTTACTATTCAAACAGCCTAACGAACTCGTTTACCTTACTGAGCTAACAAAGACCCGAAGAAACCTTTTCACGGAAATATGTCACATCTTGCAGTATGTGGGCAACACTAGGCTAAGGAAAAAATTGAGACCAATCTGATAATAGACTCAAATTAAGAAAATATCATATCCAGCATCTACTAAGCTTATTGCAAATTGCTCTGTTATTTTCACACCTTTTAGGCACAGTCATGGGCCTTTGGATACATATTTGCCATCGGATTTGTCGACGTTATGGAGCATATAGCTCGCTCTTCTAATCGTGCTCTTTTTCACCCAACACAAATTTCAACTGACAAATGTCTATCGGCTTGAAACGGAAATATGCATCATGTTATACGCCTTTTGCTAAATCTAAACTTAAAGCTGATTCAATTTATTCTTCGATGTGAAAACAAGATCCATCATATATAGCACTATACCATTATTGCTACGATCACAGAGCTAAATATGCTACTAAGGGAATATTCCAGGAGCAGTGTATAGATACAGGTCTTTTGGAGGATTTTGGTGGCCCTGAAAAGGGCCGGGGTTTTCGTGCTTCTGATGTAGATAATCTAGCCGCCGAAGCCGTACAGAGTGCGGCCCTGGCGCTTCAGAGCGTAGACAACGTCCATGGCGGTGACGGTCTTGCGCTTGGCGTGCTCGGTGTAGGTGACGGCATCACGGATGACGTTCTCGAGGAAGACCTTGAGGACGCCACGGGTCTCCTCGTAGATGAGACCGGAGATACGCTTGACACCACCACGGCGGGCCAGACGACGGATAGCGGGCTTGGTGATGCCCTGGATGTTGTCACGCAACACCTTGCGGTGACGCTTGGCGCCTCCCTTTCCGAGACCCTTGCCTCCTTTGCCACGTCCAGACATGATGCTTCTTTCACTGTACGAAAGTGCAGATGGTTTCTTAAGCTGCAGCCAGGCTATTTGTAGGTGTTCTACGGACGTCGACGGAGTATTTGCGATGATAGCGTGATCCAATGGTTCTCAAGGCCGAACGAAACGACCAATTGCCGTACAGATAATTCCCCCAATGGTTGAAACGGTCAACAATGGACTGAAATTCTATACCAGTAGCCGTTAGAAAAAGGCATTTGGCGCGCATTCTTGAATGGGCTATTTGTAACCAGAGTGAAATGTATTGTGTTTGTCGGATACCTGATACGACGTCGGCGCCACTAGTAAGAAGGGCAATACTAAGCTAGGCGAACTGGTGAGCATATTCCATGAGAACTTAAACGTAATTGAACCAAAATGAGAGCTAAACCCACTCCTGTACAGGAAAGGTGTTGACTTATCGTAGGTCTAAGCGCTTCTGTCAATATGCTGCAGATACGCATATGCTAGCGTACTCGCTAACATATTTCGTGGCCAACACCTGTACAGTTTTCAATTCTCCCTTTTCATCATTTTTAACAAATGCAAGATTCTAGTGTTCCTTGCCAGATGTATATGATGGCTCATGATAGTTTTACTTGTAAAAGTTTAGAGACGTTAACTCTTATCATCATCCCTATAAATTTAGTGAACGGTCTAGCTCTTTGTGAGGATGTGTTGGCCCTGAAAAGGGCCGGGGGTGTTTGCCGTTCGAAGTAGTTTACTTGGAGCTGGTGTACTTGGTGACGGCCTTGGTGCCCTCGCTGACGGCGTGCTTGGCCAGCTCGCCAGGCAGCAGCAGACGCACGGCGGTCTGGATCTCCCGGCTGCTGATGGTGGAGCGCTTGTTGTAGTGAGCCAGGCGGGAAGCCTCGCCAGCGATACGCTCGAAGATGTCGTTGACGAAGGAGTTCATGATGCCCATGGCCTTGCTGGAGACACCGGTGTCGGGGTGCACCTGCTTGAGTACCTTGTAGATGTAGATACCGAAGGACTCCCTCCTTCTCCTCCTCCTCTTGGCTCCACCTGCACGGCGGGCCTTGCCTGCCTTCTTGGCGGCCTTTCCTGGGGTCTTTGGCGGCATGATGCTGCAATTCCTTGACTCAGTGTTTGGTCAGAAATGGTGCAATGCACGAAATGGCTTCCTTTTATTGTGTCAAATATGCAAATTAACGGATACGACGCCATCTGAGGGCGGACTTGGTCGAAGACTCAGTTGGAGGGGGTCAAATTTCTTTTGTGTGACTTGTGTGTATTGTCATACCTTTCGTGTCATTGGCTAATGCCTCTAAGGCAGGATGCTATTGGTTAAGAGACACTACCGCTTGGATCCAGAGGAACACTATAAATAGCGGAGTAGTCTTTCTTAAGCACTTTTTTTGCTACCAAGAACAGGTATCAAATCTTCTATCAGTCATCATGTCTGGACGTGGTAAGGGAGGAAAGGCCCGTTCCAAGGGCAAGAGCCGATCATCCCGTGCAGGGCTTCAGTTCCCTGTCGGCCGTGTGCACCGTTTCCTGCGCAAGGGCAACTATGCCAACCGCGTCGGTGCCGGCGCCCCAGTCTACCTGGCCGCCGTGCTGGAGTACCTGACCGCTGAGATCCTCGAGTTGGCCGGCAACGCCGCCCGTGACAACAAGAAGACCAGGATCATCCCCCGTCACCTTCAGCTGGCCGTCCGTAACGACGAGGAGCTGAACAGGCTGCTGGGTGGTGTGACCATCGCCCAGGGAGGTGTGCTGCCCAACATCCACGCCGTGCTCCTGCCCAAGAAGACCGCCGCCAAGAAGTAAAGAGGCAATCCTAACCAAAGAACCCCGGCCCTTTTAAGGGCCAACAAATCTTCACAAAAGGGCTATATTGATGTATCTGCTTATTGCAAAATAGTAGTATTCACGACTCACGAATTTATCAATAGATTAGTTGGAAGTTTTATCTTTGACATTTAAGCCACTTCTGGCTTGCGGTACAACTGTCCACAGAGCTAATCGTCGACAAACTATCAGAAAGCGATTGATCGTAGAAAAGAAAACTCGTGCACATTTTCCGTTGTATGTGTCGTGTGCACGTTTCCAGTACAGTAAGCATGAGTGACACTTTGTCAATAGTAAACTAGTGGACTAGAGAGCAACCCATTCAATGGGCGTTGCTGGGGACAAGCCAGGCGTGCGTATCCAGTTTCCTAGTTATGTACACATAGGCGACTGTTGACGCTGTAAGGGTTGACTAGGAGGGTGTAGAATCTTAATTGGGAGCAAATTGCTCTTAGAGTGAGATCAAAGAGGAATATTTCTAATGACGTTTTAAGCCGCACATACACACTACCTATAACATATCTTGAACAGAGAATTATCACGAGTGGGATCCAGAACCTCCACCGGTACCGCACACACCCCAAAAAATTGCGCCAAAATTTTCCTGCGACCCCTCCCCTCACCCTTATCCATACTCCCTGCTGTGTACCAAAACATGCTTAATCTCGTTAATCTATTATAAAGTCTAGCAGTATTTGCTTGAAATTGTCACATCATCATAGTATTTTAAGTGTTGATGTAGAATATAGACTTGTTTGGCACATTATTACTTGCGACGACGTTGGACAGAATGGCGCCAAATCGGGATGGTGCACCAGGGTCCGGCTGTATGTTGTCATTGTTGAGATCGATAAAAAGTTGCCTATTCTTTTACGAAAAAAAAATTAAAAGCACTCATATACCAGCACAAGCGAATAAAGATGCCATATAAGATGCCATGCATGTGTAATAAGGAGTAGGCATAGTACATGATGCAACATTGATGTTTTTATAGCTGATTCCATCAGATCCAAAACGGCGCCCAAATTGCCGTGAAGTGTACAGTATGCATATTCCGTCGACAGATTTATTTCTATGTTCTAAATCATGCAAGTCAGAAAACATCCCCTCATTTAGAAAAGCATCTTGACAAAGAGTTGACTTAATCTTTCGCTGTTACAGAGATATACACACATAGCACAACGCATATACAGTCATGTGAAGACGAATACAGCTCTTTTTAGAGGAAGTGGTGGCCCTGAAAAGGGCCGGGTGTTGTAGATCTGTACACTCCTTACTTCTTCGCCACCCTCTTGGTCTTCTTGGCAGGCTTTCTGGCCTTCTTGGCTGCTGGCTTCTTGGCCTTCTTTGCCTTCTTGGCCTTTGGCTTCTTTGCCTTCTTGGCCTTTGGCTTCCTCGCCTTCTTGGCCTTCTTTGCCTTCTTGGCCTTGGGCTTCTTCGCCTTGCGCTTCTTGGGAGCCTTCTTGGCGGCAGCGCCGAGCCTGAAGGAGCCGGCGGCGCCCTTGCCCTTAGCCTGGGTGAGCAGACCCTTGGCCAGCATGTTCCTGACGACACGCCTGATGACATGGCCCTGCTTGACGACGTCGAACTTGTAGTTGGCGGCGATGTACTTCTTGATGGCCTGCAGGGAGGATCCCTTGCGGTCCTTCAAGGCAGCGATGGCGGCGGCCACCATCTTGGCGACCGGTGGGTGGGCCGCGGGCTTCTTGGGCTTCCTCGCCACCTTCTTCTTGGGAGCTACTGGAGCGGGTGCAGACATGGTGATTAGCTTCAGTTCTCTTCTCTGTGAAGTAATAACTGAATGTGAACCTTCCCGCTCGAATGCACCTTATGTATACTTTCATTGCGGACGTAATAGGAAACAGTCGCCATTGGCCTTACAAAAATGGCCATGTAGGAATAAGCTGTGTTTCTGTCCGTTAAGTTCCCCCTGTACATTTCTGTTAACACAGAATAATCAACATCGATACGTACAACAGTGGTTACCTAAGGATTTATAGTTTTAAGCCATGAGTGTATTACAGTTATCATCTATCGTAGATTCAAAAGAAAGTCAGTTAAATTCACGGTAGTCCCAGTGAAAACACTCACTTAGACATTCGCCTGCCCAAAACGCGAACGCTCCTTAGCTTGGCACCTGCGTCGTACCTGGAAACGTTGGCCCAACATCTTAACTCCGTGTCGTGGTGCATGTCGTGAGTAATCTTTGGCCCTACTCAAACAACTCTTGACGATTTTTAAGTGGTACTCGCACACTCTGGCCGGAGGCAAAGCTGGACGGTGGCCGCAATCGTTCTCCTTTATTGTAGAACAAAAGAGCTCATGGTCAGCCCAAACAACAGACCGACGCTAACCAACGCCAGGGCTGTAATCAATACGTCAGGCGATTTCTTTGCTAAATGTAACTCTATCGGGCAAATGTCGGCAATGATTTGTGAGGCCAGGTTTATAACATATGGCATCTGTCTGTCCCCTTCCAGTGTAGAAAAAGATCACCACATGTGAAACTTACATTAATACCATTTTGGCTATTTTCAACTTGAATAGCAGATGGTTATAATTGAGATCGATAAGTTCAATTCACAAGGCTACCAATCCTCTTTCTCTGTGAGTCGCAATTGAGGACTTAACAAACCTCAGCCGATATCACATTTTGCATTGATTCAAGTCTTAAAAAGATAAAGACTTCGCAACGTCTGAAGAATATGACTTCTCGATCCGATTAATCGATAAAAACTGGAGATATATGACCTGTGACATGACATGACGCAAGCCAACGGGTACAAGTATAGATGACTCGTATTGCTGAATAAATATTTTTCTAAACTTAGATTACCAACAATCTACGTGTGATTGGTTCCCCAATGTACACGTATATTGGCGACACATCGCCCGCAAGTGGACTTTTATTAAGGAGGGCTTTTTTTAGCGCCCAGATCCTAATTTTTGACCGTACACTCACATTAAACACCTGGATTGCATGGAGACAAGAATTCTTAAAACAGAAACCCTGTCCCATAGACTAGTAACGAGTACATTAGTTATCAAATACTAAATATAGGAAAATGTATTTACCCAAGGAGCACGAGTATACGTACAGTGACGTACTTCCCGATGTCGACCTCCGGAGTCGACTGTTTTTAGAACTCCATTTTCCAAAGACGCGCTGGAGAAGATGGTTGTGCCGAAGTTGTTCGCTTGTGCGTTTCTACTGGGTATTCTTCACCAGGTATGTACACCCTTCTATACCAGAAATAATGGTATTAAACAGTAATTATGAAAAAAAACATAATAACTTGATGCTACGTTTTTGTAGATTTGCCCGTATTATTTTCCTCGGGGACTGTTTGCTTTCTTGCAATTGTAAATGCATAGAAATGACCCCGATTCCCTGGATCGGTACCTTTAATGGCATAAAGTTGTGCTTTTATGACTGAGAATTTTTATCTGGGAGTTCTGTAAGTTTCAATTTAGAAAGTTGCACTGATATGTGTTGGTTGATTTACGTCACAGAAGCGTTAAGAGTACTTTACAAAGTATCAGGGCTCGTATTGACAAAGGATACAGTGGGTTCAAGCCCCGGTATATTTTATACAGAATGGTGTTCTAATAAAATAAATCGATTACAAACGCTTAAGCATTGAGTCATTGACCGGAGTGTGCACTATACGTACGTGTAATCAGTATCAAGGTGGGTCAATGGAGACATAAGTAAAACAAATAGAGTTGATTTAAGTTGCGCGGAAGGGGCACCGACCTGTTCTGGCAAGCCAGGAAACTCTGAGATACCGGCCTATGATAGAGTCTTATTTAACAGTCAATATTTGTGCTATCAAATTCTACACCCAGATGAATTAATATCTCTACAATTCTTTACAGGTCAAAGGAACGCCGTTTGGCCGTGATGGAAGTAAAGGTAAGAGTCACTAAGAGTTCATACCTCCGGAGCAACATTGTCTAGTGTTATCAAACCTTTCCAGATCTCGTAATTACTCATATCTTTAATCTGTTACAGAAACGTCTTTCGAGGATCTGACGGCGTTCGATGTGATTCTGGCGGAGAATGAGGGTAAGGTTCGCACAGAGAAACAGGATTTTAAAGAAGCTGGAGACAATAAAACTTTAAGTATGAAGATCTGATAAATGAACCCTGCATGTGCCGCTTAGAATACGTATTCGTAAAAAGCACGCCATATGTGTGACTGTCCTACGTTACATTGCGACTGTCTATGACGTCTTTTCAATTGGCAAATAGAACTTAAAAGTTCTATCTTTCTATTTTCCAATTAAAGAGTACAGAATCGAGGGAGAACATCTCATCTATAAATAAACCAAAGAAATGTGAACGTATACCAAAGTTCACCATTGTTCTTTTTCAGCTGCTGGTCTTGACCTGTTTGAAGGAGATATCCTTGACTCTGCTGACCAGGCAAGTACATGTATATGTCTTGACTTGAAGGGGTTACATACTGACACTGAGACTAAGCTAGGTACATGCGCTACTATACACAACGAATTACTAGCACACTACTAGCGATGATCAATAAATGTTAACGTTATGCATCAGTGGATTAGTCCATCCTCTGAACCTATGTGTATCTATTGGGAGCTTCTGTTTTTCACGACTCTCGCAGGTCCGTAACGCCATACAGTGCACAGGACGCATGTGGCCGAAGGGACCAGACGGACTGGTGAAAATCCCGTTCAACATTACTGATGGTTTCAGTAAGTACATTTTGTACGAATACAAACTAAACAATTTTTGGAAATTGTTTGAAGCATGTAACAAAGCACTTAATCCTTTTTCTACTTGGAAAAAACTGACCATATAGTGTTATTTTACCCCCCGTAGTCTCAGGAATGTTTCTGCAAGTTAGGGTCGGTTTTCATACTGACGACCTGACGATGGGTTATAAAATCCCGTTTTGAAACCTGACATGAACCATCTGTGGTTTAACATAATAAGTAACTCCTGTATTGTGCTTCAGCCAGTGATGAGGTGTCTGCCATCCACCGCGCCTTCCATGAGTACGCCCACAAGACCTGTGTGGACTTCTTCCAGGTCACCACGGAGCTGGACGCCTACGTCAGTCTAGAGAAGACCACCAGCGGGTAGGGCACTTTGATAACGGTGCAAGCAAATATCTGTTTACTTCATACTGGTGCAAGAGGTGTTCTATGGAGTATTTGCAAGTACTTGACTTAAGATATCACCATGCGTTGCAGTCCGTCTTTTTTTGGACTTAATGCCAAGGTAATGTGGATAATGTTGGACCGTGCGGACTTTGTACCATCCCGCGATGACGCACAGGTACAGTCATTAGTGAGACGCAGGTGCGAGCGGTTCCACGGTTTGGATAAATCTGCTTAACACTCCAGGAATCAGGAGTTTAGGATAAATAGTACCAGCGTCTTGGCTTGTGCGTGATAGTGATAAAGACTGAGCTCACTTTAACTTATCAAGATGTCGCACGCGCGCGCGCGCGCGCACACACACACACACACACACACACACGCACGCACGCACGCACGCGCGCGCACATACATACTGCACGTTCTGACCCCCCCCTCCCATGCAGGTGCTCCTCCAAGTTCGGTAACATGAAGGACGGCGGCCAGCCCCTGTCTCTGTCGGCCAGCTGTATCAGCCGGTACGGCTCCGTGGTGCACGAGCTCATGCACGCTGTCGGCTTCAAACACGAGCAGGCGCGTCCGGACAGGGACAACTATGTCACTATCGTCTGGGGAAACATTCGCGACGGTACAGAACGCTTATATGTGTAGATATGGCATGCAGTCATGCAAATATAAGATGTAACATCATGCCAGATTCCAAACTGTTCAACAGATAAGAACGGTTTGTAAAAGAGTGTGTAAAATGTTAGTCACTATCTTTCAGGTCTTTCGTTGTTTTATATTCATCTCATCATTTTCTTTCTCTCTTGGCTCCCCCCATCCATTGGATCGTGCCATGATGTGAAATGTCACAAATCTAATTTGTGTTGTAGAAAGCTGTAAAAAACGTAACATTGTCTGAATACAAACTACATTTTTTTATTGTAGACTGTAGAAAAACGGGAAAAACGTCATGATGAAGAGTAGCTTTCAACTTATTTGTAACCTTCATCTCTATTATTGTTTGCAGGGAAGGAGAACAATTTCAACAAGGAGTCTGAGCCCGTCATCAGCACGCTGAACCTGCCGTACGACTTCGGGTCCGTCATGCACTACAGCCGCACGGCCTTCACCACCAACGGACAGGACACCATCGTGCCCAAGGTCCCCAACGTGCAGATCGGACAGAGGGACCAGATGAGCGACCTGGACGCACAGAAGATCAACACTCTATACGGATGTGGTGGGCTTTTTTCTTTTCTTGTTTTCTCTATATGTATTTCGTTTTTCTGTCCTAGTGTACGAGAGTATGTCGCAGGCAGACATGCGAAAGCGCCACATAGTGATAAAAGATGAGAAAAGATACTGAACTGGTCCATTGACTGTGACTTTCTCTTCTGCCCGGTTAAGGTCGCACTGTGACCGGTGCGCCGACAGGGACCGGCCTGGACACGTCAGCAAATTTGGCGCAGCCCAGAGTGGACCTGGACACAACAAGTAAGTATGTCAGTAAAATATTAAGAAAACTCTGTTTCCATGTAGACAGTACGTACCTGTTACAAGCTTCAGTATTAAGTGTGCACATGAGGGAATCCACGAGATTAATAAAGGAAATTATGCTGTTTAATGAAATGAATTTGAGGACGACCATAGCGTTAACAAAATGTTCTAATGGTCTGAAACACAAAAGGGAAAACTCTAACCTTTATAATGGCATATTAGCGTATAAAAAAAATACCGTCATGAAAATGAATCTTTGGTTCCTTCATTCAAACGTTTTCATATCTGTGTCGTCCTGCCTGTAGTTTCGTGCTCCTTCGCCTCTGGCTGGTGCGGTTACACGCAGGACACTGCAGACGACTTTGACTGGAGTCTGAACGTCCTGGGAGAAGCGACACCTAGCGGTAGCACCGGTCCTGACCACGATCATTCCACGGGGGAAAAGGCACACGGTAAACAGTCATCAGTACTCATTTGAAGGAAATATGTTGCTATTAATGCCTGTCTCTTTGGCAGCATTTCACCATGCTATAACGTCGGATGTAAGGCTGTGTTAAAAGCTCCAATTGGTGACGGAAACGCCTTTTAAAGCATTTTGTATAACATTGAATGCAGACATTGTATTGTACATTTTGCATTGTTTCTACAATGAACAAAGTCTGCTGCATGTATGTTGCACGGCTTGTATTCATATAGACTATGAACAGATAAGAAAAGTCCGCTTTGTATTTAACAGGTCACTTCGCCTTCATCGAGGCCTCCTCTCCCCGTCATAACGGCGACACCGCCGGCCTGCTCTCTCCAATTTCTACCGCTAGGGGTCCTCACTGCCTGAAGTTCTACTACCACATGTACGGCGCGGAGACAGGCTCGCTCAATCTTGTCTACATAGACACACGAGGGGGAATCAAATATCCGATCTGGAGCAGGTCAGGCGAGCAGGGAGACTTGTGGGTTGAGGCCAGGGTAGACATCGATGCCCACTCAGACTTCCAGGTACTACTTATGATCAATATTCTATCTTGAGAAACAGAAAGAAGCAAACAAACAAACAAACAAACAAACAAACACACGATTCACTTGCCGTGAGATACAGTTGAACCAAACGTTGCTGGTTTCCAGGTGATGTTTGAGGCGGTGCGTGGGACCAGTTACCATGGTGACATCGGTATTGATGACGTGGAGATGGTGGCGGGAACGTGTGGTAAGAGACAACTTGTAAAACTGTGTATATAACTTTGAATAGAAGTAAAATCACGAAATGAAAACAAAGGGTTGACAAAATCAATGCAAGATTGCACCTTTAATTTCCAGTTTTGAATCGTGACTGCTGTGTTTCCCTCCTAAGGTTCTGTCTATCACTGTGACTTTGACGTCGACTTCTGCGGTTTCCAACAACTGGCGAGCGACGAGCTAGACTGGGTCCGCAACACCGGACACACGCCTTCCGCCACTACAGGGCCGGACAGGGACCATACCACAGGCTCCTCAGGTAACCACGTTCTCATTGTATATCACTACCTCGTATACGAGGGGTCAATGATGCAAAGGGTGCTCTCCCTCGCTCTCCAGTTTATTTAATGCCGGCAACCCGCTCGTATCAATGACACCTCCGTTGTCGATGGAATAGTTGAGCTATATTTTGGGTACCCGAAACGAGGTTTTGCACGACGTGAGCTTACTCAACTTACGTCGGTTTGCACGCGTGCCGATACTCATTTCCGCGACTGTTTGCACGCGTGCCGATCCTCGCGCTGTGCTGAGTTCGCACGCGTGTATGTCCTCGCGCTGCGCTGACCTTGCACGCCCGTGGAATTCCTCACTACAAACCGAGTAAACACGCATGTTGTGGGCGCAAAAGTGGAGGGCAGAACGCTGTAATGCCGGACCGAGCCTGACTAACTACCGTTGCGTGCATTTCCTCGAGGCGTCCCAAATTTACTCGCATGTGTATTTCCTCACTAAGAGCCGGGTAGACACGCATTTCGCGACCGTATAATGTGCGACCGAAGACCGAGCATTTTTACTACATAAGTGCACGGAGCGACCTGTCGGCTAAATCAGTTCAAAGACGTGCTTAAAACAAACGAGGTTTCTGTTCCGTGGGCACGCACAACGAGCGGGAGAACAGCGATGTATTTATTTTTTTAATGGACCATTTTGATAAGACATATCACCGAATCGACGGGTAAGTGTGTACAACGGTGCGTCTGTCTTTGAGATCGTCGGCACGGGACGCGCGTACATTTGCTCACTACAACGGTGTTTTGCACGTATCATTGTGCTTTTCCTCGCTCGGTACTGCGCTACCACTTAGATTTACACAGACTTGCGTTTACTGACTGCAAGAGATTTGTTACGGTTTTAGGAGCCGGTTTTTAGCGTCTTTTCGTGTTTTGTTTTTCTTTACGTCTTTTACAATGCACTTTTCTTGATGGTCGACGTTTCCACAAATCAAAAAGTATACAAAACGAAAAAGGAAAACGAAAACAAGGAGGAGAAGACGTACGAAAAGACGCTAAAAACTTTTCCAAACATCACGACCTATGCCAAACATAGTAACCGAGTGACCATTTATAGGACAAAATCCATACCTTTGTTCCATGATAAATCGGCCACTAGTCAGGCTCCAAGCTTGTAAATCCGCGAGTTCCGAGTACTCGCTGGCGTTGTTACTGGCGTTGTGACTTGAAGTGACGCGGGCTATTTACATATGCGCACATGCGCACTGCTTACGCATGCGTAACCAAGGTAACTAATGCAATGCATTCTGGGCTTGGGTGATTCTATTGCTTTTTAGGGGTGTCAGATACCATTTTTACGAATCTATCACATCATACAATGCCTAATATAATAACAATAAAAATCACACTTAATACACACATGTACTTTTTCATTTTTTGGCTGTGGGAACGATTAGAATTTGCAAAAATCCATAAATAATTTACAGTCGGTACCTCTACCTCCGTAACAGTGGAGTTTTCCGATGACGCCAATTGACCTCTGTCTGCGGCTGTCTCAAAGCAAAACCTGCATTTTTGACACGCTCGTCAACAGATTTTTCACTCATCCGTTGTAGGAATGTACGAACTGAAACAAACTTTGTGAAATTGTGAGATTATCGATATCAACACAAAAACGTTGCCCATTCTTGTGGTCATTTTTAGGCCCGTGCTCCATGCATAACGCCGCAACAAGCATTTTTCAAACTACATTGTAGTACGGAATAACACAAAATCTAAATCGTTACTCAAGCAAATGCTCTTACCGGTTCAGAATATATCATTGGAACAACATGCAAAATAGAGTAAAAGTCATCCTTACAATAGTTGGTAATTTATAAACCTATTCCCCTTTTTTGTGACATCAAATGGAAATATGATTGCATACAAATGTGACACAATTTTGCTACATACATTACCACTTCACTGCGACAAGTCACAAATGTGATAGAAAGTACAGCAATTTTTTTTCAATTGACTTAGAATGCCCCAATAACTTACACGTTATCAGTCATTTTAGTTTTCCTTGTTGGAAGCACAATTTCGCTACATACATCTAACATTACCACTTCACTGACACAAGTAAAAATATCATTGAACAACATGAAAAATACAGAAAAGTCATTCTTACAATGTTTGGCAATTTTAAACCTATTCCCATTTTTGGGACATCAATGGAAATATGATTTCATACAAATGTGACACAATTTTGCTACATACATTACCACTTCACTGCGACAAGTCACAAATGTGATAGAAAGTACAGCAAAATTGTTTCTCAAGAGTGTCTCAAGCAAGGATATCCCAAAGACGTCTGGCGTATCTTGTGTATGCTAGGAAACTACGCATCTTGAAGCATATATATGATCCTACTTGAATACCTGATCTTTGTGAAAATATACGACTTTTTCTGATTTAGTTTTGCAGAAAAATGGGGACCAAAAAATAATACTGGCTTCCGGTCCTGATCGTGGACAAAAGAAAATCTAAAAAGCACTGTCAAATGTTCTGTATATTCCACAGACACCAATGTCCTTGGATTTAAATCTGCTTTGTGAGCCAAAATACTGCTTATTTGATCGCTCATATACCAGCATAGAAGAAATAAAACGATAGGAACAAATTAAATATGGCAGGTTTCCCGACCCACACTATAACGTCATGCATAGCGTTCCGATGACACGAAAAGATAAATTAGTCACTACGTCCGATCCGTACAACGTGGAGTTCATTTCAACGTTACTTTTTTTTCCAGTTGCGTTCGCATTGAAGTAAGCGGTTTTGTTCAATGCAAGGACACTTGCTTTACCAAGGATGTTGGCTATATGAACACAAGTTCTGATGATCGTTCTGACACGATCTTACAGCTAAGGTAACAAAGGTAAAACGAGTAAGATACCAGCTGTTTGCGTAGTATTTCGTTCTGTTTCGTTTTGTTTCGTTAAATTTCGTTAAGTTTAGTTAAGGTTTGTTCCGTTTTGTTGTTGTCGAGGGTTTGGTTTCGTTTTGTTTTATTGGTAAAACTAGCTATAGAATATTGTTTACTAACTGTTGTCTTGTTAGTCCTTCATATACAACTTACTACAACTAACAACTTACTAACAGAAAATGACCATCCCGGGCATCCAGTCACATTTTTCAGTCACAGTATATTTATAATGTAGAACACAACATGGTACTGTTAAAACAAAGCAACATCACATACAAACAAAACATACAAAACACTACTACATTATCTAACTACATGTACTACACAGAAGTTTAAACAACCGAATCTGTACAAAAAAAGTTTAGGTACGAAAGTTTAAACTACTGAATATGTACAAAAAGTTGAAACGCGAAAGTTTAAACTAGTACATGTAACAGAAAATGACCATCGGAAATCCAGTCACCGTGATTTTTCAGTCACAATATCAGTCACAATATATTTACAATGTAGAACACAACATGGTACTTTTAAAACAAAGTAGCGTCACAAGACTTTGTATTTTCGAGAAAAAGACATACAAAACATTACTATATCAACCCTGCAGCACGACCAGACGTGCTTCTTTGTGCAGCAATTGTAGGAGATAGAAAGGGAGGTAAGCCTTCTGCGCTCGGCCCAGGAGACGTCGGTGCCATCCTTCCGTATCGTTGTTGGTCCTGATCGTTCGTCAGAAGATGGACCAACTCGATGGTGGCTGGAGGCGGCTGACGATCCACTGGCTGTCAACGTAGTCCATCAACTCCCGGAGTGCTGGAGTTGCGGCATTCCTCTGGAGTCGCAGGAACATCGGGATGATGTGTTCACTGGGCAGGAACGGCAGGGCAAGGACCTTGCGGATGAAGGACTTGGTGGCGCCGTCGTGGATGTAAGCCCTCTGGAGTCCCAAGTTCAAAAGGAAAGGCCTTGTGATCTTTGAACTAAGATGTATCAAGTTATGGGTGTAGTTATGGGTGTTTTGTTACTTGTTCATAATCAAAATTACGGTACGGTGTGTTTACTAGTATTCTGATATCTAAAGTTAAGGAGAATGTGGAGAATATATTGCGCCGACGTTGTAAGCGGAAAAACCTAAGCCGTCTGCATAAAGTTTGTTTGGCGGCCTATGGCGCTACTGAGATGGCGCTGAGCTCCCGCCGGTCTGTTAACCAGGCGGCGTTGTATAATACTACATGTAGTAATGTAACCCAAAGACGCTTCCCGCGCAACGCATTACGGTATAGCTTGGGTAAGAAAATCCGCCATATTGTTCCCCAAACTACCACAGGCACGGAGTGAAGTTTATAGCGGAAATGTAGTCTTATTTCTTAAATTAATGGCATGTGGGATATTTGATGTCATATGAACGGCCTTTAGTGAGAAAACACACACAGGGAAAGGTGTAACAGCTAGTGTAGCAG